GGGGCTGCAGTAGGAGCAGGGCAGGGGGCAGGGGCTGCATGGGGCAGGGGCTGCAGTCGGAGCAGTGCAGGGGCAGGGGGCACAGTGCTGACTGCTGTGCCCTGAGCAAGGGCCCCTCGCCAGGCAAGCGCTGCGCTGGATTTATGCTCTCGGACAGCATCAGTGCAGTGCATCACACCAGCATTTAAGCTCCATATTTAAAAGCCATTGGCCCTGGCTTAGGCGGGCAGCTGAAGGATTTATCTAACGTGACACCTCATTAAAGCGATCAGGGAAGTGACATTTAATTGCTTCCGGATAACGTGTTTGCAAGCCCCCTGGGAATGCTAATGGGCCTGGCATTTGCCTCATGGTGCAGACACCCGGCTCCTAGCAGGGTCCCACAGCTCCCACCACTCACCAGCTGCTGGGCACAGCCGAGGGGAGCTCTTTGTAGGGTGCCCAGCTGTGCAGGCTCCCTCAGGGGTCTGCTGGAAGGTTGGGCTCCACCTGGCCTGCCCGGAGCCCTCTCCCTGCCTGACGACGTGTCTCTTCTTGCTGGCACAGGGGGGTTACGCAGCCTACAGATACGCCCAGCCAGCGGCGGCGGCAGCATACAGCGACAGGTGAGGCACTCCTCTGCCAGCCTTGCCCCAGCCAGAGGCACCTGTGGCCTGGCTCCCCCCAGTCCATGGAGCTCATGTCAGCAGCTTTCATGCCTCCCTGGAGAGAGAGGCCTGGGGACAGAGCCTGGGTCACTTGTCACCTCTGTTCCCAGAGAGGGCACACGGCGAGAAAGGGACATGCTCAGAACTGATCTCATTGCAGCCAGCACCCCCTCCACGTCCAGCCAGCGGCTCCTGCTCCTCACCAAGCTGCTCCTGTTAGCCACCTCCAGTGCCCACGGCCCCCTCAGCTAGGAGCTGGGCATCCCTCAGGTGCCTATCGCAGCACTCCAGCTGGTCCCTCCCTCACTGCCCACGGCGTTTCCCCAGGAGGGGAATGGGGTCGAGATGCAGAGCTGGCCTAGGGACTGACCACAGCCCCCTTCTGCCCTGCCTGCCGCCGGGGCCTAGAGCATTCTCCAGCTGTCTCTCCATGCTGCACAACACCAGCCACCACACTAGGGACGGCTGGTGAAACGCCACAGGGCCGGGGGAGTGACTCACCGACAGACCTCTGATCAGCCCTAGAGGCCGCCCCCTGCAGGGTGGAGCCCCTGCCTCCTGCTCCTGCATTGCTGGCAGAAGCATCAGATAAATGCAGCACTCCTGCAGCCAAATCCCTGGGCCCAGAGAACCCCCTCCCCATGGGATAGGCCCCTCAGATGGCCCAGAGAAGGGCCAGCCTCCCCCAGCCCCCTGGGCACAGCCTCCTCATGGGGTTCAGCAGGGGAGGTACCTGAATGGGTGGGAGGGGGAACCGCTGGTTTCTAATGCCCGCTGTGTTTGCTCCTAGCTACGGCAGAGTGTACGCAGCCGCGGACCCGTACCACCACACCATCGGCCCTGCTGCCACGTACAGCATCGGCACCATGGTAAGAGCCGCCCCCTGACCCTGACTGCAGCTGGGGGATGGCTTGACTGGAATGAATTTGCATGGGCCTGGGGGGGTGGGGGGGGCAGCAGGACGTCCCTGCCATGGTCTGACTGTTGGGGAGCAGCAGGGGAGCATTTCACTGGTGGGAAAGCCCAGGAGAAACTTGACTCCACCTGACCCCACACAGCCTGTCCCCCCACACTCAAGGGAGCCCCCAACACACACAGACCCATTATACGCCCCCCCCAAGCCTGCGGGAGCCCCTGACCCACCTTACACTGGTATAGAGATCAGTAACTCCTTTCTACCTATGCTGTATGGGGTGGGGGGTGAAGCTGGAGGTCTGTGGCCCCCCCTAGCCCTGGTGCCCACCGCACACTCACATCCAGCATGCAGAGAGCCGACCCGTCAGGGAGCGTGTGCACACGTGTCTGTGCAGCCTGGCACCCACCGCGACACACCGTCCCACACAGCGCGGTTCAGGGTGGTTTAGCTAGCTTTGCAACCAGCATCAAAGATGAAAAGTCCCGTTTGTGGGCAGGGTCTCCAAGCCAACCAGGCGTTTTCTTCCTTTTTTTAACCCTCCCTAATGCCCTGGCCAAGGCCTGAGCTGCCGCATGTCAGGGTGGGTCCTGCCAATGCCCCTCTGCACACCCAAAGCGTGGCACTCGGCGGGCCAGGAGTGTGGAGCTCAGGCGGCCTCCGGGCCAAGAGCTGCGCATCCAGCCACACCGTGCGCAGAGTGGGAGCAGCACTGCCGCAGTCCTGGGCGGGGAGCCAGGTGGAGAATGGAGGGGCCCTGATAGGGCTGCAGGAAGTGTCCCCCCGCTCCGTCGAGCAGAGGGGAGGGAAGCCGGCAGCACTTAGAGCAGGGGCCTGACGCCAGCCCCTTGGAGGAACCAGGCAGCAGTGGGCTCAGGAGGGATTGGCGGCCCTGGGGGCTGCCTGCCCTGCTCCAGGAGTATGGGGGGCTGCCGGGTTGAGAGGAAACCTCTCTCCCACTCAGCCCTTCCCACCCCAGCCAGAAAGAACCCTGCATGCTGGCGCCCAAAGAGCGCATTGTCCCAAATGGAGCTGATGGGAACGGCCAGAGCCCAGGCAGTGCTGGGAGCAGCGTGCGCAGCTCCTGGGAGCCCTCGGCGCCTCCGCCCCACCTGTCCTCCCGGGACAGGACGATATGATGTCATTAAAAAAGGGAAGAAAATGGGCCTTGCCTCTCTCTCGAATACTGATTGGCTTTTCTTTCATCTTTGATGTTGCAGGCTAGTCTATACCGAGGAGGGTACAGCCGCTTCACTCCCTACTAGCAAGACACCCAGCCCCTCCCAACACTAACACTGACTGCTCACTAGAAACCAAACAAACCAAACTAAGCAAAGGCAGAGCCTCTCGGAAGAACATGGTGCCCCTGCCAGGGGCCAGGGCTCCGCCCGGCTCAGCGTGGCACCTAGAACCATAGGTCTTTACCTCAAGCTGCTCTCATCCCGCGTCTCATGTCTCTTTGCTCACCCACCTCTGTCTGTGACCTGCCCTGGCTGAACTGACTGTGTTGCAAAGCAGGCAGCCTGGCCACTGCCCTGCTGCAGGGCTGGGGCGGGTCCTGCTCTCCCTAGACCTACAACCAGCAGCAAACCCCGGGAGAGAGCCCAGGCTAAGCCCCCTCCTCTGCCCCCGCTGCCAGGAACCCGTGAAGTCCAAAGGCCAGGGCGTTCCAAGAGAGCTGCCTTCCTGCGCAGAGCCACGCCTGGGCCCGGCACAGTCTTCCACTGCCCCAGCTCCCTCCAGCATCTCTGCGGCAGGCAAGCCTGCTCCTGCTAGGCCGGGCTTGTTCTTCTTGTGCAGGCGCCTGCCCACAGCCAGGGCCCCGGGCAGGGCGCTGATCACACAAGGGAAAGGAGCGGAGGGTTTGTCCCTTAGGATAATGGGCTGCCTGGCAAAATGGGCCGGGAACCCCGCCCGTCTCAGGAGCTGTGGGCAAGGCGGAGCATGCAGGGTAGCTAGTACCAGCCGGGATAGCTGAGACTGGGGGGCAATGAGCGTGGCCCCACCCCAAGACTACACTGGGGAATAGCACCCGCCATCCCTCTGCACAGCCTCTGGCCAAGTCTTGGAACCCCCCATGTGCGCCTGGCTCTGGGGAGCAGCAGCCCCTCTACTCAGGTGCACATCATCGTCATAACATCCGGGGGAGGGGTGGCCTGTGTTTCAGACCATGGGATGCCAGCCGGGGTTAGCTTTTCGTCCCTGGCCCAGCCACCCCCGCCCCTTCAGTCACTACGGGGGAGAGAGAGATTGGAGTCGAGCAAGACTGCTCTGTGGGCCAGGCGAGGGGCAAGGACAAAGGCCGCCTTGTGAGAGAAGAGCCTGTGGGGTGCAGGCCCAGCCACGGGGTGGGCTCGTCCATCTGCCTGGGCATTTCTGGGGGGACAACAGGACCCGCTACACAATCCTGGAGCCGCTTTGGAAGGAACTAATGTGTCAGCCCCACCCCACCTCCCCCTGGTGTTTGCTGAGCGGCCCCCAGCACTGGCAGTCCATGCGTGGCTGAGCTGGGTCCCGGGGCGGGGGTGGAGTCCAGCGTCCCTGCCTGCCTGGCTGCGCCCCGTGCCCTGCTGCTGGGCTGGCCCTGGGCGCTGCTCTCTGCCCCCAGGTGGCTGCAGGTGGCTCCAGTGAAAGTTCTGCCTCTGTTTGTGTTGTAGTGACACCACAGCTGCTTCCTTCTGGGACCAGGAAGGGCAAAACAAATTAAAAACAAAGCAACAAAAAACAAAACAAAGAGGCAACCAACCAACCGAGTCCCATACTGTCCACACACATGCACCGAGCAAGCAAGTCCAGCAGGAGGCGCTGCACCCGCCTGAGTCACGGAGAGTACACACCGACCGGACAGCGCCGCGGCCAGCTGGCAGAGAGCCGCCCCTCTCCAACCCTGCCCCGGCCAGCAGCCATGTTGGGAGACTTGGGTCCCCCTCCCCCTCCCCAGCCTAGGGCAGGGAGGGAGCGAGAGCAGTGCGGAGTGCTGGGACAGCCTCGGAGCGAGGACTCTGCAGGCCCCAGGCACCCGGCCTGGGCACCGCGTCTTCCTTTCTGCCCTCCCAAGCCAGGGCCGTGGGCAGAGCGCCGCAGCAGCCCACGCCCTCCTGCAGGTTTGGGGGACTTGGCCTCAGGGGTAGGAGTCTTGCTTTTTGTTTTCAGAGCTCCAATGCTTTTGCGCTTGCTGGCCAGCGGTGTGTTGAGTGTGTGAGGCCTCGGCTCTCTGAGCGGAGGTGGGATGGTTGATGCAGCAGCAGCTTTGCCTGGGCTGCTGGGTGTTGCAGGGGAAGAGGGGCTGTGTTTAAGAGGGATGTTAGCTAACTGGAGTTTGTAGCTCCCTTGCATTTTCATCACCCCGGTGCCCTGAGCTCCTGGCTTCCCCCAGCCCCATGGGGCTAAAGCCAAGCGGGAGCTGCTTCCTGCGCCACACCTACCCAGGGCAGACAGAGTGGGGAAGGGGCTGCATCTCTAGGCCACAACATGGCGCACCAGGGATCATATCAGCCCCTGCCCCCCAGCATGGAGCCCGAGGAGGCCATGTGATCCCACAGTGGCTGCGTCTCAGCCACCCCATCACCACTGGGGGACAGGGAGCCAACCACACACCCCTTAGTGGTGGCTGCAGGGTCCCTGCTCAGAGCCAGGCCTGCCCCAAGCCCCAGTCCCATGCTAGCTAGGCATTGGAGAGGCCCATCGGGGTGAGGGTCACTATGGGCAGTGCATGGGAAGTAGTGGGCAGTGAGGGGAGGACAGTGCTGGCTCTGGCCAGGAGGTCCCTGCCTGGCATAGCCCAGCTCTGAACCAGTGACAGGTGGGGGCAGCTGGGCTCTAAGGCTGGGCGCGCTGCTAGCCAGGGCACCAGATGCACCCAGGTCCTTGCCAGCTTCTTTCAGCTGCTCACCCACCGCCTGCCCCATGCCACAGCTGGCACAGTCCAGTTGTGCCAAAGGCCAGAGAGGCACTTCCCCCCCCCCAGCAGCCTCGCGGGGTTAGGGTGGGCCACGGAGTTGTTTGCGCGGCTGCTGGGAAGGCAGGCGGCTGGCTGAGCCAGATGGATCCAGCAGGTCTCCCAACATGGCTCTGTCATCTCATGAAACTTCACTTTATATTCAGCATACGCTCCTGAGGCTCCAGCCATGAGATCCTCCTTTTCTATTCCCGTTGTACATAGCCCCTTCCCAGCCACCCCCCGCTCCGCTGTACAAAGCTCCTTCCATGTGCTGTGCTGCCGCCGCCCTGGCGGCCCCCCGGCCCCAGAGCGCAGGCTGGCGCCCGCCCATTCTGTATGCTTCAAAGGTGTGATCATTCTACTAAACAGTATTATTATGAGGATTATTATTATTAAGATTATTAATAAAGATTTCTTTCTTCAACCAGGACGACTCAGGTTTTGAATGGGGGCGTAGACGGGGCACAGCCCTGGGTGAAGGCTGCTGGAAGTGGGAGGCAGGGCCCAGCCATCTGCCCCCCATCATCTCAGCGAGGGGAGCCAGGCCTGCTCTGCATTGGCCTGGAGCTGGAGTGCAGGACGAGCCTTGCAGGAAGGGGCGGAGTGGACAAACCGTGCTCCTGGTGAGGGGCACCCTGGCAGCCTGCTGGTGTGTATTTGCCCACAGCAGGCACCCGCTGCCAGCTCTACCCTGGAGCCCCTCTTGGACTCTGTGCCCCAGCCAGCCCCACACCTCACTCGCCCACCCTCTGACAGGGATTTTCCCAGCAGGCTTTTCTGGGGGCTGCCCCTTTACATTTGCCACAGCTAGGCACCTGCACTGTTTGTATCTAGCTATCCTGGCATTGCTCCAGCAAGCAAGGCCTGGCATTCCTCCGGCCTTGTTCATCCGGGTGTTGTTCTGAAGGAGCGTGAGCCAGATCCTCCTCGGGTTTATGCTGGACTTGCCTTGAACCTAAGCCACAGGAGCCCCCTCCCCAGCCAGCAATTGTGTGACACCCTGCTTGGGGTATTAGGCAGGCTGCCCTCTCCGCTCAGGGCCAGGCTGACCTGTGACTGGCACACGGGGGTTCCTGGGACGTCCAGCCCACAGCCTAAATGCACAATGTGCTGGTGCCCAAGGGGATAACTCTACCTGTGCCACACTGGCCTGGCGACTCTGCACATGGGCACCTCCATGCACCAGGCCCGAGATCCTGCGGCACCTCTGCGGGTCGCGCTGCACAGTACAGCTGGGTAAGCACCTTACCCCTGCGTACTGGCGGGGCTGGGCTGTGACGCCCCCAACAGGCAGGGCACCAAGCCATTGCCTCTGCCGGCCTCTTCCTAGCCACAGGGCTTCCTGCTTCAGCGAGAACGCGCTCAGGGCAGGCCTGTGGGGCGTGGGGCTCGGGCACCAGGGGAGGAAGGCCCCTCAGCACAGCCTAGGCTGCACAGGGTGGGTAAAGCAGAGCTAAGCGCTGTAAAGAACTAAAACCTCCCAGGGTAACAGCCGGCGAAGTGCTCCCTTCCACTGAAACCCCCAACACGCCGCGCCGAGCCCGGCGTTGTTCAACCTGTCAGCTGGTTTAGCTCAGGGCAACTCCACTGAGCGCAGCAGCAGCTTCAATGCCACCGTATTAGCGTTCCTGGCGAGGCGCCGTTCCCGGCCGTAAGCTGGGGGGCGCGGGGAGCTGGGGCCGGCGAGGCGCCGTTCCCGGCCGTAAGCTGGGGGGTGCGGGGAGCCAGGGCCGGCGAGGCGCCGTTCCCGGCCGTAAACTGGGGGCTGCGGGGAGCCGGGGCCGGCCAGGCGCCGTTCCCGGCCGTAAGCTGGGGCCGCAAGCGCAGGGAGCTGGAGCCGCAGCACCGCTACCCCCCTGCCTGCTAATTGCTTGTTCACCAGCCTATGAGGAAATAGTCACCACTATAAATTTCCTCTCCTCCAAGTATCTAGGGAACCAGCCCTGGAGAACCGCTGCCGGGCAACAAGCAGGGCCGGGGAGCGCTCGCTGCTGCAGCCACTTCTGCACTCAGCTGTTCCATGGAGCTTGCACATGGGCAGACAACCCAGGGCCGGCTGGCTGACTCTGGGCTAGACCCCAGCCGGGGACGGGCGCTGGCTGTCTCCCCACACCGGACCCAGCACGTGGTGTACAGCGGCTCAGGACCAGGTGCAGCCCTGCCCGCACACAACCGTTCTCCACGGCCCTGCAACGCACCCCCCAGTGCTGCCCATGCAGCCAGCAGCCATAGCTATCCCCAGCAGCAGGGCTGGCCTTACCATGAGGCGATCGGCCAGACTGGGAGGGAGGGCACTAGGACCCAGAGTGTAGAAAATTGTGTCTGCTGCTGGGGCATATGTATTCTCTCTGCTCTAGCTGCACAGAGATGGTGGAGTGCTGTGCTGGAGGAAGGAGGGCACAAGAGATATAACAGGCAGGAGAAAAGATGAGAGGGAAGAACAGAAAGCAGCAGGAGCTGCAGGGAGACAGAGGAGGAGGAGCCTCTTATGTACCTCTCTGGCACCCCCAGGAGCCTGGACTGATTCACACCAGCTTCTCAGGGAGCTTCCTGGTTGCTGCTGCTTCCCTGAACCCACTTGAGGAGAACAGGCAGTCAACTGAAGTAGTAGGAGCCAGTTAGGCCCTTAAGACGCTGATATCTTCCCTCACTCAGGCCCTGCTACCAGCCTGCTTATTTGTCCCCTTCAACTGACTATTGAGAGCCACTATAGCTGGCGCAGAACAGCAGTCATGAGTGAAAGAAGAAAAGGCCCCTCTGGGGCAGCATTCAGAAAAAGAAAGAAAGCAAAGGAAGCTTTTCTACCTAAGCAGGAAGGAGCTCTCCTGAGATACATAGACACAAATGTTCACGGTGAGCCTTCCGGCCCCAGTGAGGATGTGAGTGGTGAGGAGATGCCTGATCTTCCAGTCAGAGTGCAGGTGACCTGGCAGCTACTGCAGCATCCGTATCTCCATCTCAAATGGATGTAACCATGCACATTCCTGAAGAAAAGTGTAATCAGAGAAGAGTGTGGTGGAGGCGCAAGAAACAGCTGCTGTTGAGTTTAGTTCCTTAAGTCTAGATGATCCAGGACTGTGGACCCACTTGAGCAGTAGCCTGAGGGACTTCCTTGTACTGCATGGGCCACAGCAAGTGAAAAACTTCATGTTCCCCAAAGACAATGAAAATAGAAGTTTCCATCCAACACATTACTGGCGTGAAATCCCCAATGGTGACAAAGTGGAGAGGCCATGGCTTATGTACTCAAAAACCCAGAATGCTGCATACTGTTTTTGTTGCAAACTCTTCCAGTCTAATGTTCCAGCCACACTGGGTTCTACAGGAACAAAGGACTGGAAAAATCTGGCATGCCATGAGAAGGCAGCAAATCACCAGAGAGCATTCCATTGGTGGAAAGAGCTTGAGATGAGACTAAGGTTAAAGGCCACCGTAGATGATCAGCATCAAGAGAAGACTGCATCAGAGTCTCTTTACTGGCAAAATGTTCTGAAAAGGCTCATTGCCATTGTGAGAATGCTTGCTACCCAAAACCTAGCACTGCATGGCACTTCAGATCAGCTGAATGTCCAAACAATGGAAACTTCCTTAAAATTGTGGAACTGATGGCTGAGGTTGATGCTGTACTCCAGGAGAAACTAAGAAGAGTCACCACCCAAGAAATGTACACACACCACTACCTTAGAAAAACAATTCAAAATGAGATCATACAGTTACTGGCAACGAAAGTCTAACAAAAGATTGTGGCAGATCTGAAGTCAGCAAGATATGACTCTGTTATTCTGGACTGCACATCTGACATCAGCCATACGGAACAAATGACTTGAATGGTGCGTTTTGTAATAACAACAGGACCTAGTGAAAATGTCCCTGCAATGGTGACTGTCAGAGAGCATTTTCTAGAATTTATTGACATTGATGATACTACAGGAGCTGGTATGACAAATGTGCTTCTTAAAAAGCTGGAAGATACGGGAATTGCGATAGCTGACATGAGAGGTCAGGGCTACGATAATGGTGCCAACATGAGAAGAAAGAACAGAGGAGTGCAGACACGGATCCGAGAGTTAAACCCTCGAGTTTTTTTTGTCCCATGCAGTTCTCATTCGTTGAACTTGGTGGTCAGTGATGCAGCATTAGCGTCTAGTGAGGCTGCTGAATTTTTTAATGTAATTCAAAGCATCTATGTATTTTTCTCTGCATCAACTCATCGATGGCAAATTTTGAAGCAACATCTGGGAACATCTGACACTGAAACCACTGAGTGCTACACGATGGGAAAGTCGAGTGGAGGCGATAAAGCCTATCAAACACCAAATTGGGAAGATAGATGATGCCATAGTTGCTATTATGGAGGAGAATGCTATGACAGGAACTGTTCGTGGGAGAACAGTGGCAAAGGGAAATGGAATCACCAGAAACATACATAACTTCACATTTCTGTGTGGCTTAGTGTTGTGGCATGACAAACTGTTTGAAATAAATGTTGTAAGCAAGAGACTCCAAGGTGTTGACCTTGATATATCTGGAGCAATGGAACCACTGGACAAAGCAAAGTCATACCTACAGTCTTACCGGTCAGATGAGGGATTTCAAAACGTTCTGCAGAGTGCACAGAAGTTGGCAGAGGAACTTCACACTGAAGCTATTTTCCCACCCATTCAAGAATACAAGAGTCACTGAAGAAGACGACATTTTGATTACGAGGCACGGGATAATCCCATAAGAGACCCCAAACAACAATTCAAAGTTGAATTCTTTAACCAGGTGCTAGATTGTGCAATACAGTCAGTTGAACGTTTCATGCAGCTCAAGAAACACAGCAGTATATTTGGGATGTTGTATGATATTCCAAAACTCCTCACTATACCTGAAGAAGACCTACACCAGCAATGCAGGGCACTAGAGACAGTGTTGACACACGATGACATGCGCGATATTGATGTGAGTGATTTAGGTGATGAACTGAAAGCCCTTTCAAGATACATTTCAGCAGAATCAACTCCAAAGGTTGTTCTGGAATATATGTGCACAAATAAGATGACCACCCTCTTTCCAAATGCTTTTGTTGCTCTGCGCATACTTCTAACACTTCCTGTAACAGTTGCCAGTGGAGAACGCAGCTTCTCCAAGCTGAAGTTAATAAAAACACATCTACACTCCACAATGACACAGGAGAGGCTGGTCGGCCTTGCAACCATCTCAATAGAACATGAGCTGGCCCAGACTGTGGACCTTCAGGAAGCAGTTCAAATCTTTGCAGCCAAGGCCCCACGGAAAGCACCACTTTGATTATTCAAACAGATAAAAATGCCAGTGTTTACTATGCAGATAAGAAAAGTTACATTTGCTATTCAGTCGTTTGAAAGTTAAGTGTTACCTAAAATTTTTGAACAAGGCATTTTAAGTGGTTAGTTCTCCTTTATTGGGGTAGGTAGCAGAGCAGTACCATGAGAGGAGTAGAACAGGAAAAAGGCAGAATTGAGACCTTTCAAAGTTTTGGCCCAAGCCAGGGGGCATGGGGGCATTGTTTGAGCTCCCTGCCTCAGGTGCCAAAATGTTGTGGGCCGGCCCTGCCCGGCAGGCTCAGCCATGCCCTTCCTGGAGCCCAGCCGCCAGCAGCACAGAGAACTGAAGAGTGGGGCTGAGGGACCCAGAGCCACTGCCGGCTCTGGGCTCTTCCAGGACTCGCTGGACACCCACCAGGCCCGGGGGTGCAAAGGAGCAGGAAGGTGGGGCAGCAGCTCTGGCTGCTATGTGTTCTACATGCAGGGCCGTGCCCGGGTAGCCACCTGACCAGCTGGGGGGCAGTCTCCCTCCCCCTCCCCCACGCAGGCAGAGTGGGACAAGCACCCGCTTGCCACCGCGCAGCGAGAGCCCCAGGCCTGGTGTCAAAAGCCGCAGGCTGCAGCACAGGGCCGGGCCAGGCCATGGGGGGATCCCTGCAGTGTTAACGGAGCAGGAGGTGAGTGCAGCGGTGCAGGACAGTGCCCGGCTCCAGCCCGACCCTGCCCATGGCCCTCACCCCGCTGCACAGCAGCTCCAGCTCCCCGGTCCCCAGCGGCTCTTGCCTGCCAGCGTGGGACTCTGCTGCCCCCCCGTGGCTCGCCCCAGGCTGTGCGGGGCAGAAGGCGCCAGCGACTGGCCAGGAGCCATTGGAGAGGAGCCAGGGTCCTGGCCTGGTCGGGGCTACCCACGATCTCTACTATTGTCCAGAGCACCCCCCAGCTCTGCCGCAGCCCCTCCATCCAGCCCTGCGCTCCCCCAAGAATGCCCAGCTCGAAGGCCGAGATCCCTGGCACTGTGCCAAAGGCGACATTTAATAGGTGCTGGTGTTGGCTGGGTCGGAATAGACCAGAACCAGCCGCCCCCACCTGGACCGATCCACGGCAACCCCTTCGTTCAGAACCGGCTCCACGAAGAACTCCACGCGGCAGGACTCCGTGGGGGGCACCTCTGGCACTGCCAAGCCCACCACCCGGTAGAGGGTGGCGTGTGCCACCCCGAGGAGCTGGGGCAGCTCCCGGCCCCGAGGGCCTGCCCGGCCCTGGCAGTGGATCCGGAAGCAGCGGGCTTGGCTGTGGGGGTAGGACCAGCGCAAGGTGAGGCTGAGGGAGAGCTGGTCCGGGCCAGGGCCCTTGTGCCACAGCAGCTGGGAGGCCTGGAGGCTGGGCCCTTGGGGCAGCGAGGAGCGCAGGCCGTCAGCATCCAGCACCTGCAGGGGAGACAGGGGCTTAGACGCAGCCCAGGCTCTCCAGGGCAGCACCCAGAAGGAGGGATCCATGCGGGGAGGGCACCTCACCTCAGTGCTGCCCCCACCCCCAGCCAGACCCCCCCCGCCCCCCCAGGAGGGCAGCAGCAACCATCTGCAGCGGGCAGGGCTCCCCGGAGACGCTCCCCTCCCCCCCCGCCCCCAGGCTCCATAGGCACATGTTGCCACAAGGGATGGCGGGTGGGCAGTGCCGGGGCACTGTGCTGAGTGTGGCCCCCTCACCCGGATCTCCCCAAGGCGGCAGGAGAAGCGCCGTTCTTGCTGGCCTGGCTGGTGGCGTGACAGGATCAGTGACAGCTCGTGCAGGGCGCAGTCCCGCAGCTCCAGTTCGTAGCACCTGGGCGAGGGCAGAGAGGGGAGAACTGGCAGGGCCGCTGGAGAGACCAGGCCTGAGGCAGGACGGCTCCCTGGCTGGGGACACTCACCGCCTCGTCCAACCTGCCGCGCTCTGCCGTCCACAGCCGCCGAGCAGCCCAGAGAGCTGGGGGGGCGGGGTGGGGAGGGGCTGGGGCTGATGTCGGGTGGCCGGCCCTGCAGGAGGGAACGGAGCAGTTAGGGCAGGGGAAGGGGGCACAGGACACATGAGGCTGAGGAGGAGCAGATGTGTCCCAGGCATCCCAGCCTCCCTGTGCCCTTGCCAGCCATGTGACGGACCGATTCCCGGCCTGCCCGGCAGCGTGAGATCCCCGCGGAGGGGCCCAGCTCCTCACCCGGCAGGGCAGCTTTGTTGCCAACACGGCAGGAGCCAGAGTCCCATGTGGTGAGTTCCAGCGCGACCGCCACCTCGGGCAGCTTCTCCTCCAGTTTGTACAGCAGGGACAGGAAGAGCTTGGGGGGAGCTGGCAGCTGGAAAGAGAAAAGGCTGGTGACCCCCAATCCCCAGAGAGACAAGGGAGGGAGAGAGAGAGGGGGAGGGAGTTACATGGGGTACAAGGCAGGTCGCAACACACACGGCATGTGGCACGCAGCTGGCACGCTGAGCACGCAGCATGCCAGCCACAGGCTGCACGCGGCACCAGCCCGGCCCGTGGGCTGCGTACACACACTGTGAGCTCACACAAGCACCAAGCTAGGCATGCCACAGGCTGCACGCGGCACCAGCCCGGCCCGTGGGCTGCGTACACACGCCGTGAGCTCACATGCGGCACGCACACAACGTGCTGTGCACAAGAACCACAAACTAGGTCTGTGGCTGCACACCTGGCCCAGTGCACAGCGGACAGTGTGCATGGCACACACTTGGCTGCACCCCCCATTCCCTTGGTGCAGTGCCCTGCCCTGGCTCCCCAGCAGGAAATGGGTCTTTGCCACGCCCGCCGCACCAGCCCGCACTCACCGGACAGCCACGTGGCCCGCCTCAGGCGGGATGATCCCCTCGATCAGCAGGGAGCTGCCCCCGTTCCAGGCGTCCTGCAGGGAGCAGCGCGTGCACAGCCAGCTCCCTGCCCCTCCCGGCGCTTGCTGCTCTGTGAAGAGGGGCTGGATCTCCTGGGCACTCAGGTTGTACCAGGGCCTGACTTCTTCCTCCTGCAGGAGAGAGCAGCCCCGGTGAGCCAGGCCATGGGGCAGGCGCCTGCTGCAGGCGAGGGACGGGCGCTGGCTGGGCCCCGTCGCACACTGACCCCGAGTCACTCTGGGGGTTGCTAATGCTCAGGCCCAGGCTGAGCCCATCTCCCCACACGCTGGGACCTGGGACCTGCCCGCCCCGCCCCTGCACTCACCTGCCCAGCCGAGAATCTCCCCGTGCCCATGCCCAGGCAGAAGCAGGTGCTGAAGGGCAGAGTGCTGATGCTGTGAGTGGGCAGCAGCTCCGCCAGCAAACCCCAGAACCTGCACGGAGAGGAGAGGCTGGTTATAGCAGTGCCGCTCAGCACGGGCACCAAGGACCTCACCCAGTCAGCAGGCCCGTGGCACAGGGGACACGAAGCACAGCCCAAGATGCAGCCAACCAGGGGACAGCATCCTCCCCCCAGAGCTCTCAGCAACTCTGCACCCCACTGGGGTCCCTACGGCTCAGCCCTTTAAAGAGTCTGGCGCCGGCGCCCCCGGGCCGCAAAACACCCGGGCAGCCACGGTCCACCCCCCCTTCTCTGTGACCCCATCCCCCCCAGCACGAGCACCCCCCTTCCCCGCACCCTCATCCCCCCAGCATGGGCACCCCCCTCTTCTCTGTGACCCCATCCCCGCAGCACGAGCACCCCCCCTTCCCCATGCCCCCATCCCCTCAGCACAGGCACCCCCCCACGTACCCATCCCTGCATCCCACCCCCTCTCCATCCTGGGCACTGATCCACACACACCCCGCCCAGCATGGCCACGCTCACTTGTTCTCGTTCTGCAGGAAGTTCTCCTTCCCCAGGTGCTCATAGACCCAGCCGGGGGCGAAGATGGCAGCGGAAAAGCCGTGCTTGCGAATCAGGCGCAGAGCCTACGGAAACGCGGGGGTGAGACGCTCCCTCCCGCCCGCCCCGCTCAGAGCCTGGACGGGCTGAGCCGTAAGCACCGGGGCTGCCAGCACCACAGCGAGCCTGAGGGGTGCTCTCCCTGCCCCCAGGGCGCCGGGCAGCTCACAGGCCCCGCACTGTCCCTGGGAGATGGGGATGGACCCCGGGGGGAGGGGGGGAGCCCCCATTCCCCAGAGGAGAACTCAGGCTCCAGGCCTCACTCAGCCCCTGGCCACACTCCAGGGACACGGGCCCCAGAGCCCAGCTCGCTGCCCGGGACCCCGGAGCCGCCAGAGGATCCCGCCCGGGGCGAGGCCCTGCCCCCGAGACACCCTTCGGCCAGGCTCAGGCACCTTGTCTGTCTCAAAGCCGCCGCCTACGACCTCCCCGCGAGCAAAGACGTCGATGCCCACGTAGACGTCAGCCAGGCGCTCCCCGGCCTGCGCCCCCATGCGCTCCAGGTGCTCCTCCTTCCAGTTGTAGTTCGTGAAGAAGCCATCGCAGGCGTCAAAAAACACCCTAGGAAAGGGAGAGCCCCGGTGATGCCCACCCCCTCCTCCCTGAGAACAGGCCCTCAGGGGAGGGGGCCCCCAGCTGCAGCCCCCAGGCCCGCTGCCGCAAGCCCAGCTCCGCCGGGGGCACTTGGGCAGGACGGGGGAACATCAGAGCTGCCAGGCCGGGGTGGGGCTGGGAGCCGTGCCCCTGCCAGGGAGCCAGAAGGGCCGGGTGCCTTGCTACATGCGGGGCTGGTGCCCAGAGCCCGTGGGCCGGGCCAGGCCAGGCGCAGGGGGGTGGCTTAGCACCCCCCCATGGGGCAGTGACCCCAGGCTGTGCGGCTGGTAAACGCCAGCCCGCTTGCGCTGTCTTTGCCGGCTGCCAAGGGGAAGGGCTGGGCTGGGCTGCGTACCCAGGGCTCCTGCTCTGTCCAGCAGACGGGGGCACCCCCCCCTCACCTGTTCTTCTCATTCAGCTCGTTCTGCCACTGCAGCTTCCCGCTCGGCAAGACGCTGTCGTACCAGATCACCAGTCCGCCGGGCACGTCCCGATGCAGCTGCTCCCGCAGGTCCCGCAGGAAGAGGGGCAGGTTCCGTGCGGCTGCCTCCTGCATGGGGGAGGGAGAGAGCAGGCGTCGCCCGGGGGCACCATGTCCGGGATCCCTGCAGCCCAGGGGTGGGCAAGGCAGGACAATCCGGGGGCGGGGGGAGGGATGGGACAGAGCCGGGGAGGGGAGGGGCAGCAGGGCGGCTCTGCTCTGCTCACGCTCAGGGTGTTCTCGATGTTGACCAGCCAGCCGTCAAAGCGGTAGAAATGGGCAATGCGGCCCAGCTGCACAGCCACGGCGTGGTACGCGGCTGCCTCCCCGGCGAGGAAGGCCTCACACAGCTGGACCCCGCTCGTCTGCTCCGTGATGAACGTCCCTAGAGCCAGAGCACAGATGGCAACGTCAGCCTCACCGCTCCGTGCGCCAGGGCCCCCGCCCAGGGAAGGGGGTGCTGGTAGGTCCCTGTACAGGGTCCCCAAAATACTGCACGTGTGTGGGCAAGAGGCATGGGCCCTCGCCAACCCCGGCCTGTCCCGGCACGTGCTGCCGTGGGGGGGGAGGGAGGGGGGCTGGCCACAGCCAGCGCCCGGGTACTGCAGGCCCAGCGGGAGCTCCCAGCCTCTCCCCGCAGGCAGCGCTAAAGCCACGAGTGCTCCCGCCTGCCCCGCCCGCGGTGCCCGGTCTTTCCCGGCGTCCCCTCACCCAGCACAGAGACGCCGTTCCTGTGGGCGGCGTTGGTCCAGGTGACGGGGGGGATGGTCACGGGGTGGTGGCTGAAGTAGACAAAGATGTCGATGTACTGCCAGTGGTAGAACACGTAGGGGTCCCGTGAAGCCGAGCCCTGGATGAACCTGCAGGCAGAGGAGGGGGAAGAGGCTCAGGCTGGAACGGCAGCACTGCAGGAATGGTGCCCTGACCAGGGCTGGCCTGGCCCAGTGCTCCAGCCCCACAGGGCAGTGACGGAGCACTTGTGGCCCCCCCAATCTATTCCCCAGGTGCCAGGCTGCTGCTCTTCCCCCAGGAGACGCTCCTAGAGCAGGGAGAGAGCTGGCTGGTGCTGTGGCAGAGAATCATTCATCCTCCTCTTGCAGCGGAGGGGTCTGCCCCTTCCCTCTGAGCTGGGGTGGGCAGCGCCACGGACGAGGCTGGAAAACGCCTGACTTTCTGGGAGAATTTTCAAGTGGGACATTATCAGTTATCTGGATTGCAGTGGTGCCAGGGCTCCGATCAGGGTCTACGCTGGGCACGGCGCAGCCAGCCCCTGCCCCAAAGAGCTTCCAGGCCAAGCCAGAGAGTTTCTCCCCATCTCAGGAGCCGCTCGGCAGCAGGTGGAGATGTTCCAGCCTCACCCACCGAGCCTGCAGGGGTGAAAACGTGCCTGGGGAAGTCTGCAAGATGGACACCAGGCTCCTGCGCCCATGGCCAGTCTCAGAGGGTCCCAGTTCCATGGTGCTGGGTCACTCAGATACAGCAATCCAAATGGAGGTAGCCCAAATGGTTTTCCAATAGGCTGCCCCGTGGGTCTCTGGCTGCGATGAGTTTACACAGAGACACCCCCCCACCCCCCAGCTGATGGGAGGAACTGGCGAGAGCCCCCAGCATGAAGTTGGAGATGCACTGCACATTAACAGGGAGCAAACAAGCTCCAACCTGATCGGGAGACAGCCCTTCCGTTCCTTCCTGGGGGCGAGGAGCATTCAGTCTCCTGGGATTCCTCCTCCGCTTGGCTCTAGAACAAACGTATTCCACTACCCCGGCACTGAGAACGTCTCCTCGGTGCGGAGCTGTCTGCAGGCAGGCAGCCAGGGGGAGGCCAAGGCTAGTCCCTAGCATGGCTCTGCCCTGATCCCACACACCATCTGGGTGTGGTGTTCTGTCCCATCTCGTGGCACTGAGACGAGAGAAGGAGAAGGGTCTGTCGGCGTTACAGAAGCAGAGGACAGAAAGCAAACCCAAGATTCCCCTCGGCAGCTATAATCCATGTCACGCTGGGCTCAGCTACATGCTCCCTACCAAACCAGCAGAATCGCCAGAGACCAGTGGCTGGGGGTCATTAACCCAGCCCAAGAGCCAAGCCAGTAAAAGGCCCCATCTCTGCAGCAGCAAAACAGAAATGAACGCTCCTACCCTCCGCTTTAAAGGCAACAGGGTCTGGATGAACAAATGTGGGACAGCGCGTCAGGCCCCCTGGGCCCTCTTCCGGCTCTGCCGCACCTGGGGCGAGTCCTTTCCTCGCCCTGTGCTGCGGACAAGGGGAAGGATGTTCCTGACCCCCGCCCAGGGCCGCTGCAAGGATGGATTAAAGTTTGCAGAGTTCTGGAAGCGTGAAGCGCTGGGTAAATGCCGAGTCCCATCAGCAGAGGCCCACATGCCCGGCATGCAGCGCTCCGTTCTGAGAGCCGTGAAGAGGAGGGGCAGCCGTGGACAAGTGCAGAGCCTTGTGGCCACCCCAGCCTCGCTCCTGCACCTAGCATTGCTGAGGTCCCTCCAGCCCAGCCCCTACCTGTCCTCCAGGTATCCATAATTCATGTCGTGGCACACCAGCGTGCGGGGTCTCTTGCTGTGGAGCGGAGGCTCCCGGTTAGCCAGTGGCATCGTGGCAACGTTGAAGTCATCGTCACTGGTGGGTTTCCATGCCAGCAGCTCCTCCAGGCTGGACAGGTAGAAGCTGATCGGCTCCGTGGTGTTCTGATCAAACTGCCTTGCTGGGAGGAGGAGAGAAGCCCGAAGATTGCAGGTCGTTAACACTCAGCCAGGGGAGCAGAGCCCTCACTCGCAGCACCAGGGCACCGCGGCGTCCGTGGCAGATGAAGCTGGGCCACGCCCAGAGGGCCTTGCACATCTGGCTGGGCTCTTACCTGGCAGGGCGTGGGGGGCATAGCTGACTGTCTTGTGGAGAATGGTGCTTCCTTGGCTCCCCATGGCAGGCAGGAAACTGAAAAAGAGAATCAAGTCACCCCTGCAGAGACTAGGGGGCCTGGGGCTCACACCTCACTCCAGCCCCACACTCCATGGAGGAAAGATCAGGCATTTCAGGGAGAACCCAGCACACTCATGCACCACCAGCAGGAGCCCGGTACAGTGTGAGCTGGCCCTTTAAGAGGAAGTTGAGACCCGGATTCAGCTCAGAAACAAAGCATTCTGGGACTGCTAGTTCCAGCAGGAGCCTGGGCAATGCAGGCAAAGCAAAGCATGCGGGGAAGGTTACCAGGATGGTCATTCGTACATAACCTTCCCTCAGAACACACTGGCTCCCAGGGAGCCTAGCTGGACGAGGCCTCTATGCAGGGGGACAGGCTGGTCTGGTTAGTGGGAGGGATGACGTACCCTACTAGGGCAAGGGAAACTGAGGCAGCCCATGCAGCTGTGTTGCCCCCTCGGGCAGCCTGGGCTGAGAGCAGACTGGGCAGAAGCCACTTCTGAGCAGGGGGGAGCCCTACCTGGTACCTCGTGTTTGTTCCGGGCGGTGGGAAGTTCTTGCCTCGGCTAATGCCCAGTCCTGCTGAGCTCTGCATCTACCATCACCTGCTCGACTGGAAACAGGAGCGAGCACGCCGGGCTGCTACCTGCTCTGATCTCGCCAGCCAAGCAGCGTCGGGGCGAGGCAGCTTGGGGAACTCCCAGCGCCACAGGAGCAAGGGGTGGAGTCCTGCCCACCACATCCACACACAACTAATGCCCCTTGCTCACAGGCCTGCCTGGACACGCGCTGCGAGCGCGGGTACCTCTGTTCCCCTCTGCTGCCAAGTTCGCGCCAGAGGCTCTCGGCTGGGGCAGGGTAGGAGGGATGAGAATGCAGTGGGAACACCAGGATGGGTAGGACGTGGGCAAGGGCTGGCACCAGCCAAACTCCTGCTTCCCAATTCAAACCGGGCACTAGCAGCGGGACCCAGCGGGCGAAGGGAGAGAAAGATGCAGCAAATCCTTGCACGGGAGTCCTGTGCCTGGAGACGTGCTCAGCTGAGCCAGGCCAGCGAGAGGTTACCACCCAGCTGGTATCTGACTGGCCTGGATGGATTATTTTATGGATTTGCCAGGGAAATAATTTAATCTGCTGTGGTGGGGGGGATGTTCTGTGTTCGGCTGTTGACGGGGGGGGGGGGGGGGGTTCCCCGGGGGGGGGGGGGGGGCAGTGCTGGGTTATTTGCATTTCAAAGGCAGTACCCAGCATTGACTGGGTAAAGGGAGGTGCTCGGGATAGCAGGCCCTGCAGTGAGGCTGCGGCTGGGTCAGGGGCCCAGTTTGGCTTTTGTCCCGCACTGTCCCCCCCCCGGAACTGAGATGCCACTCGGCAGGCGGGAGAGTCAAAGAGAAAATGAAACAAAGGTGAAAAGCAGCAGCAGGGCGCAGAGAAAAGGGAGAAAAACACAGCGCCAGAGAGACCCCGGCACGGGCCACGCCCCCCCCCCCACCCCCCCGCCCCCCCCGCCCGGCCCGGCCCGCTCACCTCCTCTTCACCTCCGGCCCCGGCCCCGGCTCCGGCCCCCTCTTCTCCCCGCTCTTGGCTCCATCCCGCCGCCCTCCGTCCATCTCCCGCGTCCTCCCGCCCCGGCTCAGCCCCCGCCCCGGGTCACATGGGGCCGCCCCGGCCCCGGCCAATCCCGGGCCGCGCGCTCAGGCTCCAGCCCGGGGCAGCTCGTGGCCCAGCACGCGGGGGGGGGCATGGGGGGGTCGCGCGGTGCTGTGGGGAGCGGGCCCAGCACGCGCTGGTGCCGCCTGAGGAGCCCAGCTGGGCCCGGGGGGGGGAGCTGGGCCCGGGCATGGCTGTGCCCGGGCACCGGGCATGGCCGGGCGGGGGGGGG